TTTCCAAGCATGATGTGTTTCTCCAGGGACTGGTACTTCCTGATAATATGTCCGAAGTATAAGAGACAAAGTCTCGCCATCCTAGCTACCAAGGAGCATTCTGGATGTACTTCTTCCAACACAGATCTGTTTGTTTTTTTGGCAATCCATGGTACTTTTAATATTCTTCTCCAACACCATAATTCAAATGCATCAATTCTTCTAAGGTCTTCCTTATTAACTGTACAAACGTCACATGCATATGAGGTTACTGAAAGTACCATGGCTTGGATCAGGCGCACCTTAGTCCTCAAGCTGACATCTTTGCTCTTGAGCACTTTTAAAGAGGTCTTGTGCAGCACATTCACCTAATGCAATACATCATTTGATTTCTTGACTGCTGCTTCCTTGAGTGTTGATGGCTGTTCTGAACAAAATGAAGTCTTTGAAAACTCAATCTTTTCTCCATTTATCTTGATGTTACTTATTGGTCCAGTGGTGAGGGCTTTTGTTTTCTTTACATTGAGGTATAACACAAAGGCTGTGGTCTTTGATCTTCGTCAGTAAGTACTTTAAGTCCTCTTCATTTTCAGCATATAAGGTTGTATCATATGTGTATCACAGATTGTTAATCTGTCTTCCTCCAACCCTGGTGCCATACAATACAGCTTTTGAATGATTTACTCAGCATACAAATTGAATAAGTATGGTGAAAGAATACAACCCTGGCACATACCTTTCCTAATTTAAAACCATTCAATGTTTCCCTGTTCTGTTCAGACAACTGCTTCTAGGTCTATGTACAGGTTTCTCGTGAGCACAATTAAATGTTCTGAAATACTCAGTGTTATCCATAGTTTGTCATGCTCCACATGATTCACACAATCCACACAAGCCTTTGCGTGGTCCATTGAACACTGGTAAACATCTTTCTGGTATTCTCTGCTTTTAGCCAAGATTCATCTGGCGCCAACAATTATATTCCTGGATCCATGTCCTCTTCTAAAACCAGCTTGGACCCTGGCATTCCCTGTCAATGTATTGTTACAGCCATTTTTAAATTATCTTTAGCAAAATTTTATGTGCATGAAATATTAATGATAATTACCTGATGATTTCCGCATTCCATTGGGTCCCCTCTCTTTGGAATGGGCAAAAATATGGATCTCTTCCAGTCAGATGGCCATGTAGCTCTCTTCCAAATTTCTTGGCATAGAGGAGTGAGTATCTCCAGTGCTCCATCAGTTTGTTGAAAGATTTCAATTTGATTCCATCTATTCCCAGAGTCTTGTTCTTTGCTGATGCTCTCAGGGCATCTTGGACTTCTTCCTTCAGTTTCATTGTCTCTGGATCATATACTACCTCTTGAAATGATTGAACATTGGCCATTTCTTTTTGGTACAGTGACTCATTTTATTCCTCCCATCTTCTTTTGATGCTTTTTGCAGATGTCATCTCACAATCTTCTTATCTTTTGTCATTAGTATCTAATTAATCAAATCTGTTCTTGAGATGATTTCTAAATTCAAGTGAGATATGTTCAAGTTCCTGTTTTGGTTCTCGTGGACTTTAAAAAAAGTTCACCCTCAATGTAAACTTATATAAGAGTAACTGAGGATCTGATCCAGTCTGCCCCTACCCTTGTTTTGCCTGATCATAGGGAGATTTTCCACCATCTGGCTGCACAGATGTAGTCAGTTTGATTTCTGTGTATTCCATCTGGTGTGGTCCATGTTTATAGTTGTCTTTTATGTCATTTAAAAAAGGTATTTGCAACGAAGAAATCATTGATCTTACAAAATTCTATCATGCAATTTCCAGCATTGTTTCTATCATTACAGCCATATTTTCTGACATCTGATCCTTTTTCTAAGGAGCTCTGATAGTGTAGTGGTTACGAATCGGGCTGTGAACCTTGAGGTCAGCAGTTCGAAACAACCAGCTGTTCCGCAGGAGAAAGATGAGGCTTTCCACTCCCGTAAAGATTTACATCCTGCACAGGGTCGCTATGAGTCGAAACCAACTCCACAATGATGATCCTTTTTGTTTCCAAATTTTGCATTCTAATCACCAGTAATTATCAATACATCTTGATTGCATGTTTGATTAATTTCAGACTGAAGAAGTTGGTGGGTGGGTGGTTGTGTGCCATGGAGTTGGCTGCCACTCATAGCTACTCTGCATAGGGTTTCCGAGGCTGTAAATCTTTAAAGGAGCAGAAAGCCTCATCTTTTTCCTGTGGAACCACTGGTGGTTTCGAACTGTTGACCTTGAGATTAGCAGCCTGACTTGTAACTTGTAACACTACCAGAGCTCCTTGAAGAAGGTGGAGGAATTCTTCAATTTTGTCATCACTGGCTTTACTGGTTGGTACATTAATTTAAATAATAGTTGTACTAACTGGTCTTCCTCGTAGGCCTATGGGTATTACCCTAGCACAGTCAGTTTTGTACTTCAAGATAGATCTTGAAATGTTCTTTTTGATGATGACTGTGACTCCATTCCTCTTCAATGTGCCACTCCCAGCATAGTAACCCATATGGTTGTCAGATTAAAAATGACAATACCAGTCCAGTTTATGCATTCCATTTCATTTTTTACAACTTTCAATTTCCCTAGATTCACACTCTGTATATTCCATGCTCTGAATATCCATGGATATTTACAGCTACTTCTCTTCATTTTGAAGTGTGCCCATCAGCAAATGAATATCTGGAAGGTTTTAATCCATTCACGTCATCTTAGTCAACTCTACTTTGAGTAGGCAGCTCTTCTCCAGTTGTATTTTGAGTGCCTTCCAACCTGAGGTTTTCATCTTCAGACCCTTATATCTGACATCATTCTGGTGCTCTTCATCATGTTTCATTATTCAATATTCTGGTACCATCTGACAGTGTTCCACCACTATTCATAAGGTTTTCAGTGGCTAAATATTTGGAAGTGGTCCGTCTCTCCTTTTTCCTAGTCTGTCTTAGTCTGGAAGCTCATGTGAAACCTGTCCACCATGGATGACCATGACCCTTCCGGTATTTAAATTATCAGTGGCACAGCTTCCAGAATCACAGCAACACGTAAGCCACCACAGTACAACAAACTGACTGATGAGTGGTGATATGGGAGAACATTAAATGTACCATGGACTGCCAGAAGAACAAACCAATATGTGTTGGAAGAAGTACAGCCAGAATGCTCCTTGGAAGTCAGCATGGCCATGCTTCAGACATATTATCATGGGGGACCAGTGTCTGGAGAAGGACATTATGCTTGGTAAATGGAGGGTCCACGAAAAAGAGGAAGACCCCACTGAGATGGATTGGCACAGTGCCAGCAACAATGGGCTCAAGCGTAGCAGCAGTTGTGAGATTGGTGAAATACCAGGCAGTGTTTCTCTCTGTTGTGCTTAAGGTTGCTACATATCAGAACCGACTTGACGGTACCTAACAACAACAATTACAGATGCACTTGTACTTGGGTCAAGTGACATATTCACGAATAATCATCATGGCACTATATGTATTAACAGAAGAATAGAAACAGACAAGACTAGTTAAATAAACTGTGGGACAGCACAGTCTGCAGTGGTGGCATAGCATGCAGCCGTTAAAAAGGACTGTTATGTATAGATGTATAAGAAACCCTTGTGATATAGTGCTTAAGTGTTCAGCTGCTAACTGAAAGACAGGTAGTTCCTCTAGCCACACCGTGAGGGAACAATGCAACAGTCTGCTCCCATAAAGATCTGCAGCCTTGAAAACCCTGTAGCCCATTCTACTTGGTCCCACAGGATCACTACAGAGTCAACCCAATATAAGGAGTTTTATTTTTATTTTTTTGCATATATGTTTGTATGTATTAAAAGGAAAAGACCTCCAAGATACACTGCAAGCAACAATAACAACAAACAAACAAGATACAAACTTTCATTTAAAAGGCAATAAAATACGAGTACATATTTGTATTTGCTTGTATGTGTATATATATATAAATAAAGGAACTCTGCAAAATATAAAGGAAATTTAAATGTTGCAAAAAAAATTGTTTTTTTAAATGTTGTTACCTTACTTTTGGGGGTATGAAGGTAGTAACTGGATGAATGAAGGGATAGATAGGATTAAGAAGAATTTTTTATAGTATAAATTTTTAAATTTTTGAACCATGTGACTATATTACCCATTCAAAAATTTAAACTTAAACAAATAAAAAATTCCCTAGTCTGCCTCCCTCCCTGGAGTTTCCACCTTTTGGTGGCAGCTCTGGGCTGTCTTATTCTTTTCCATGTGGCAGGTCTTCAGTCATTTGGCAAGAGGGCTCCCCAGGTGATACACACCTGCTCTCCTCCATTCGTGCTTGCAACACATTGTTCCAAACACCTCACTGCCGTAGCCTGTGGTAATCATGGGTGTTCGTCACCAAATGTTTCTGCCTTACCGCCTTCAGAATAGATAGTTGGAGAGTACTCCCAGGCTTCCTCGGATGAAGCCATATGCTTGTTCCTAGCTAATGAACTAAGGTTACAAATCTGGCTGCTAATCTCATGGTCAGCAATTCGAAACTACCAGCTGTTCTGCAGGAGAAAGATGAGTCTTTCTGCTCCCATAAAGATGTACAGCCTCAGAGACCCTATGCAGGGTCGGAACCGACTCCACGGCACACACCTACCACCACCACCAGCTAATAAACTATGAATAGTGATGGTTATCATTTCTGGGCTGGAGTAAGTAGTTACAAGTGTAAGACCCTCTGGAGCTCTTTTCTCTCCCACAGAGACTGTCAATATTCCAGTCAGATTGGACCCAGGTGGGAGGGTGATGGACAGCAGAGTCCCAAGTCAACTCGCAATGAGCCTGTAACATATGGAAGATAAACACCTTTGCTGTCTGAGGCAATTGAGAGTTGGTACTGTTTGTCTCTGCAGCACAAGCTGACTGATACGGGTGCTGATACTCATAGACCTCCTAAAGTCATATGAGCAGCACTGTGTAGGGATGAGACTTGAGGTCAGTGATGGTCATCCTACTCACACCACTGCCTCAATGATGCCCTGGATCTCCCGCTGCAGTTCTGGCTCCTTCCGGTATGTCTCCACCAGCAGCAAGGCCTGGCCATAGTTGGCACAGTAGACCTTATAGACGCGTTCCAACTCCTCTTGGAATTCCAAGAATAAGTTACCTGGTGGTGAAAAGGCAACGAGGAGTTATCCAAGGTGAGTGGGCCCCAATTTTCCTTGAGCACACCCATATGTCCTCCTACTTAGAACAGTGTGGCAGGTAAGCATTCCAGCTGGGGAGTCAGACCGTCTGGCTTAACCAGCTGTGTGACCTTGGACCAGTTACTTTGCCTTTCTGGGCCTCATTTTTCTCATCTGCATGCTAGAATATGATAGACTAAGTGACAGGAGACAAAAAGCTCAGGCTGGGACACTGTGGGTGCGTACTAAATGACAGCTCAATGACAGTAATCATCATGGGAACACTCATAGCTGCACAGTGCCTTACAGTTTACAAAAAGGCTCACTACCACGAGCCCATTTTACTTGACAATTTCTATGTATGACCAGTGCAGATGTGTATAATGAGTCGGCTACCAACACACAGGTGATTAGGAGTGGGGATTTTAAAGTTGGAGATAGCTAGGGCTGAAGGCCCACACTTGGGGGTCAGCATTTGACCCCTCTGATGCTCCACTTTTCTCTACTATAGAATAATAACAGTGTTATTTGTGAGGATCAAATTAAATAATATATGTAAAGCACCTGAACATAATTCATTAATTCATTCACCAAATGTCTACGTAGAGGTTTGTTTATGTTTTTTTGCCTATGTGCCAGGCAAAGGACTCCTGGTATAGTGCTGTAGGGTAAGCACTGGACTGCGAACCACAAGGTCAGGGGTTCACGTGCACCAGCTGCTCCTTGGATATCCTGTCCAGGGACACTATGAGCTGGAATCATCAACTTGATGGCACTTAACAACAACAACAATGTGCCAAGCACTGCTCTAAACTCTGCGAACAAAACAAAGATCCTGACTCATGGGGCTTCCAGTACAGTGGAGAAGTCAATAAATAAAAGGTGGTGTCTTCATTATCTGGTGCTGTTATAACAGAAATACCACAAATGGATAGATTTAACAACCAGAAATTTAGTCTCTCACAGCTTGGTGTTGTTGCTGTTAAGTACTATCAAGTCAATTCTGACTCATAGAAACCCTGTATAGGGTTTTCAAGGAACAGCTGGTGAGTTTGAACCAACAACTTTGCTATAAATCCAAATTCAGAGGGCTGGTTCTAGGGAAAGGCTTTCTCTTTGTGAATTCTGGTCTTTGCCTCCTTTCTGCATCTGTAGGCCCAGTATTCCCTGGACAACTCCATCCATCTTGGCCTCAAACTTCTTTTTGCAAGTGTCTCTGATATAATGTGCTGGAGATACAACATTGAGTCTTGCCAAAATTACATAACCTCAATTCAATAATGAGAAAAAATCTGAAAACAAACAAATTGAAGATGTCTGCAAAATAACTGGCTTGGACGATTCAGAGCATTATGGTCATGAAAGACAAAGACAGAAGAAACATTGCAGATTGAAGAAGGCTATGGTCACATGAAAGAGCACTGATGTTGCATTGAGTTAAGTGCTCGATGCCTAGCCTAAAGGTTGGAGGTTTGAACTCATTTTAGGACACAGACTTGTTGAGTTTGAACCTCCAACCTTGTAGTTAGCATGCTTAGTTCACATTGTTGTTGTTGTTGCCATCAAGTTGGTTCTGACTCACAGTGACCCTGTATTGGGTTTCTGAGGAGCAGCTGGTAAGTTTGAACTGCCAACCTTGCAGTTCAAACCGACCTTGTAGTCCAGTGCATTATCCCACAGTGCCACACCAGGACTCCTCCATAAAGATTACAGCCTATGGTGAAATACTACTCTGTAACACATGAGGTATCGATGAATCAAAATTGGCTCAACATCTAACAACAAAATGAATGGTGAAATCCTGGATTGAACTCCAGGCCAGAAAAAGAACATCAATAGGAAAACTGGCAAAATTTACACAAGGTCAGTTGTTGTTAGGTGCCATCGAGTTGGTTCAAACGCATAGTAACCCTATGTCAACAAAACAAAACATTGTTTCATCCTATACCACCCTCATAATCATTGTTATGTTTGAACCCATTAGTGCAGCCACTGTGTCAATCCATTTCATTTAAGGGTCATCCTCTTCTTTACTGATCCTCTACTTTACCAAGCATGACATGATGTCCTTCTCCAGGGACTAGTCCCTCCTGACATCATGAAACAAAGTCTGCCCATCTTCACTTCTAAGGAGCATTCTGGCTGTACTTTCAAAACATATTTGTCATTCTTCTGGCAGTGCGTGGAATTTTAATATTCTTCACCAACACCATAATTCAAAGGTATCAGTTCATTGGTCTTCCTTATTCACTGTTCAGCTTTTGCATACAAATAAGGCAACTGAAAATATCATGGCTTGGATTTTAGTTAGTCTTTAAAGTGACATTTTTACTTTTTAACACTTTTAAGAGATATTTTGCAGTAAATTTGGTAGAGTAGTGAAGAGTATTGCACTGATATTAATTTTGATGATTATACCATGAGTATGTATCTTCGTTATGCAGTACTTCTATAAAAGAAATACCAGAAATGAGTGACTTTAACAAAAAGACATTGATTGTCTCACAATTTAGGAGAAAATGTAGGGTATCAGCTGTAGGGAAGGATTTTCTTTCTCTATCGGCTTTGGAGGAAAAGTCTTGGTCTCCTTTGAGCTTCTACTTCTGGGCATCTTCCTATAACTTGGTATTTCTGTTCCTCCCATCTCTGCTCACTGGCTCACTTGTTTAATTTCTTTTATATTTCAAAAAATATTGATTCAAGATATACCATATACTAATCTTGCCTAAGGAGCTCTGGTAGTGTAGTGGTTGTGAATCAGGCTGCTAATCTCACGGTCAGCAGTTAGAAACGACCAGCTGTTCCATGGGAGAAAGATGAGACTTTCTGCTCCTGTAAAGATTTACAACCTCAGAAACCCTGTACAGGGTCATTATGAGTCAGAACTGACTCCATGGCACATAACAACAACAACAATCTTGCCTCATCAATATAAGAAAACCCAGTCCTAAATGGTATTATAACCACAGGCATGGAGGTTGAGATTTGCAGCACACATTTTGGGGGGACAAAATTTAATTCATAACAGTATATAGGATGCTAAAATTGGGGGAAGCTTGGTAATGAGCATATGGGAACTAGTATTATTTCTGTAACTTTTCAGTAAGTCTAAAATGATCACAAAATAAAAAGTTTTCAAAAATCAACACTATATAGAGACTAAAATAAGGGGGCAAAAGTGGAAACAGAAAGGGTATTCACGACAAGATCTTCTACCATCAAGGGAGGAAATGGTGGGGTGAAGAGACATGCATTCACCATAACAGGACAGGTGGGGATCTATGGACCACAGAAAGTCCAGCTGACTCTACTGCATGCTTAAGCCTAGGAATGGACTTCTGACCTGGACCACATATCTTGGAGATACATCAGATGGTGCTGAGATGTGGTTCAGCTCTTGGCAAAGACACTCACAGCAAGATGATCATCCCAGGACCAAACTCCTTCCCCAGTGATGATGCAGCCAGTTCTCAAGATAACTCCAGGAGAAGGAGCTTCCGGAATTGGGGAGAATGTGTCCAGGAAAGATGACCCTGAAACTGCAGCTAAGGTGAATCTGCATGATATGCAAGAGATCAGCCAACTGCAGAGAAGACCCTCCCGAGGAGGTGGTGTAATCAATCATGGCCGTGGAATCTAGGGTGGTTCCCACATTCACAATCCTCAGGAATATGACTAATGCCAAAGAGCTATATTATAACCAGTCTGGCCAGGGGCAGGGTTGTTTTCGGTTACTGAAGGGTGGTTGTTGTTAGTTGCCAGCTAGTCCATTCTGACTCATAGTGACGCTATGCACAACAGAACTAAACACTGCCCAATCTTGCACCATCCTCACAAGTGTTGTTATGCATGAACCCATTGCTACTGTCACTGTGCTACTCTATCTCACTGGGAGGTCTTCCTCATTTTCACTGACCCTCCATTTACCAAACATGATGTCCTTCTCCAGGGACTGGTCCCTCCTGATAACATGTTCAAACTATGAAACACAAAGTCTCGCCTGGTGCTGCATTCTTCTTCATCTACTGTAGCTTCATGGATTATTTGCTCTACATACAGGTTGAGTAAGTATCATGAAAGGATACAATTCCAGAAGGACTCACTCTTTCACTGCCATTGAGTCGATTCTGACTCATAGTAACTCTGTAGTTTCTGAGCCTGCAAATCTTTACTCGGATCAGAAAGTCTCTTTCTTCTTGTTAAGTACCACTGAGTCAGTTCCAACTCATTAACAATCCTGTATAGGGTTTCTAAGGAGCTGTTGGTAAGCAGTCCAGTGCTTCGTCCACAGTGCTCCACCAGAGGGGAGGAAATAAACCTTTATTTTGGTGCTCTAAGTATTCTTATCTCTTGAACAACTCTACTCTCTGGGAGTTTGCTTTTCTCTACCCTACTGACCGTGTGGATCATGACAAGCTATGGATAACATTGTTAAAATGGGTGCTCCAGAATACTTAATTGTGTTCATGAGGAACTTGTACATAGACCAAGAGGCAGTTGTTCGAATAGAACCAGGGGATACTGAATAATTTAAAATCAGGAAAGGCATGCACCAAGGTTGTATTCTTTCACCATACTTAATCAATCTGTATGCTGAACATATAATCCAAGAAACTGAATCATCTGAAGAAGAACGTGACATCAGGTTTGGAGGAAGACTCATAATATGCAGATGATACAACCTTGCTTGCTGAACTTAAAGAGGATTTAAAATACATACTGATGAAAATCAAAGCCAACAGCCTTCAGTATAGATTACATCTCATTTGAAAGAAAACAAAAGTCCTCACAATTAGACAAACAAATAATGTCATGGCGAATGGAGAAAAGACTGAAGTTGTTGTCAAAGACTTCATTTTGCTGGGATTCATAATCAATGCTCATGAAAGCAATAGTCAAGAAATAAAATGATGCATAACACTAAGCAAATCTGCAGCACAAGGACCTCTTTAAAATTGTTCCAAGAGCAAAGATATCAGTT